GCAATTTGACTTGCAAGCAACAGGAAAGTGCTGATCAATGGCCATGTATGCTTTTCCAGACTCATTGCAAGAGAGACCCTTTCAGCAGTTTTTGGGCAAACCACGTTTTAAATCCGCTGGCCGGCCTATCAGCCAAATTCTGACTTGAAAGTAGAAGGACAATATTGCTGCCCGCGTGCAAATAGTAAACATAGATTTGACAGAAGCATGCAATCTTGCCGGCTAATCCTCAACTTTACGACGGAAAATATCAATGGATCAAAAATTTGAATTAACTATACGCGAGAGAACCTTGATCGTATTCATTAACAAACACATGCGGCCTTCTGTAACAAAAAATTAACATCTCAAAAATGACATTACGTTAGCTACAGAATTATTTGACAGATGAACACTTACAAGACTCTCCCTGTCTTGGCGATGTACAAGAGCATGTCCTCTAATTCTTGTGTAAGGACTTTCTCAGCATTTGTTGCGCTCTCGAACTCTGCCGGACAAATCGTCAAAAGAACCGCGAATATCAAAAATGGTACATTGAGAAAATCCAATTTCATTGCCCGTAATTCACCCAATTTCTCACTGAAACTTACCATGCAGTGCTTGAAGGATTTCTTCATTATTCTCCATCGTTTTAATGAGCATCGAAACTGATTTTCGTTGACGATTACCACAAGAAATGTTGCGAAAAATTAAAATATTCCAAACTCTGTCTGAATCGCGGACAACAAAAATGGCGCCATTGAAATTGACGTCATAGTTTCCACCGGAGGTAGTCCCTTATGTCTCCATATTTGGAAGAGATTTCAAAACAAGTTTCTAACACGAAATACGATTGGTTAATTTATGTGAGAAAACCAATCAAAAACACCGTTCTTTAGGTGAAATTTCTTGCTTACAGAGGATAATTGGCAATTTCCAAGATGTCGACTAGCAAAGGAGACACGATGTTTGGCGGCTCAAAACTGTCGAGTTTGGAGGAAGATTTCAGTTATGGAGTCACTGTTGCCCAGACGAACATCAATATCCGTCTTGGTTAGTGTTACAGAATGTTTCATAGCTTTTTTTTCCAATGACGATTTTCGTCAGAATGTTTCTCTCATGGAAGATCGATAGGGAGTTTGAAAGTGAAACCCTTTTTGTTTGATGATGACTTACTGTTGTTACAAGAAATTGTGAAGAATTTTTTTTGAGAAGAGAGCGGAAATAGCCAGATAGATTTTAAATGTTTACACATTTTGAATCAAACTAAAATTTTTGTGTTCCTATTCTGAAGATGAATGATGGTAAACATTATTTCTGTGTACACGTCATTTTTTATATACCTCGTTTGGAGTTTTGGTAGATTTTCGCAGTTCTTACTGTATTTTAAGTGGGCTATGATGACTTGTGCAAAGCAAGCTCTTCTACTTTTCCGTAACATGAAACTACATGTAGAACACATGATAGTCACTGTATATATGTTAATTTTGTGGGAAGGTAATAGATGAGCACATAGGCTATTATTATTTTCACCTGAAACTTCAATAAAAGCAAAAATAATCAATATTCCAGTTCTTCAATGCGTAGTTGCTTGCTTGCTTTATTGTTTCCTTGGAAATTCTATTAGCGGTAAGAATTGTAGAGGTATTAATTTTGTTAGAGAGATTTTCTCTTCTATGACCTGCAAGGCTTCCAGAGCAACACAGCAGGGTCTTGAAAGCACCCCTAATTTTGCTTATATACACTGTATGCCTGTCTAGAACAAGTTTGGTGGCGTCCATTTTGTTACTAAATTGTAATCATCATTTATTGAGGTTATTCCACTATTTAACTCCCAAACAAATTTGTAATTCTTCTTACTGTCAGCCATGCAATTCTTGTAATGTTAGTTGAGACAATTTAGTATTGAGTCAACTAATTATATCAAATTGATATTATTCTTTATTCTTAATACTTATTTGGTTGATATAGTGCTGATATCGTAAGGATAAATTCTGTTTTGGTCACTCAAGGGAGTTAAAGGGTTAAGTCAGTTGTAAATATTGAATTATTTTAATACAGTAACTATAATTGGGCTATTATTAACTTATTTTTCCATAAATTTCACTTATGTTTGAAATGAGCTGTTTACTTGGCTAAAATATTGAAAAAATAAAACCAAATGGTCATCATCAGGATAAATAATTTCTTACCCAAATGATGACCAAGAGTCAAAAATGTTTAGTTTTCTACTTTTTAAAACATTTTGGCCTTGTTAATGCATGTAGTTCATTTACATAATTTTTTGTCTAAATGGCTACATGTGTACAGCACATGTTAAAAATTAACAAAAATTTTACTTTGCAGCATTTGTGTTACCCTATAGAACATATCTATCTTTGTCTTACTTCTATTTATCATATTCTATTAAAACTCTCATGCCCCTATAGTTGGTTAATTAAACAAACAAAGCAAACAACAACAAAAACAACAATTAAAAAACAACAGAATCATCAGTCTACAGACCTTGGAGAGGATGTTGGCAACTACACTGAGAATATAAAAATCAGCCATGCTTATGCATTGAAATTTTGGGAAATTTCTATCTGATTTATTCCTGTTTACTGAATTGCTTATTTACTTTAAAGCAACATCTTTTTTCGACAATTCAGCCAAAATTTTTTTTTTTTAAATCAAACATTTGTTGATGGAAAAACTTTTCTTTTTTTCCTAAAGGTTTCCTCAGGAAGGTTTATGGCATTCTTACTGCCCAACTTATGCTCACCATTTTTGTGGCGGGAGTATTTATGTACACAGAAAGCATCAAAACTTTTGTTCAGGGAAGGTACTGTGTGGAAAATCTATAATTTCAAATTGTAATTGTTTGCCACCCAAGAGTGCTCTCTACATCTCAATAGTCTGTAAAGCAGACAAGGGAGGAGAATGAAACAAATTATCAATTAGGGAATATTTTTATACAAAGCCAATTTCCCAGCACCAGCTTCTAATTGTAAAGACTGTTTGGTTATCTGTTGATAGAATCACTCTGCAGATCTTTTGATAACTACAGATGTACAATATACTTGTCACTGTCAGTATTATGCTATTTTGTCTACGCAGTGTATGAGCCTTATGAGCACTTTCATTAATTGTTAAGTACTTAGTTGAAAAAATTCCCCAATGAGGGCTGTATACATTGGCACAAGCATGGGTTGAAAGTCCAGTGCATAGAAGAAGAAGTACTGAAGAAAGATAATGGGTGTCTGCACATGGCAATGATAGCATAGAGTTCCAGAATGATACTGTTTCTAACTGTCTTCTGGTCGAAGGTGGTTTGAAAGAGAAAAAATTTACCAATAGAGACTTTCTAGTGCACATTTAGAGAATTTATCCTCATATTTATCATTTCTATTTTTTGAAACAATGTCTCTCATAGACCTGAGGTTTTGATGATGGCATTTATCCTGTCACTTGGTCTGCTAATTGGACTGATGTTCAAGCGCAAAGAACATCCAACCAACATGTACCTTTTGGGTGCATTTGTAAGTTTGAAATTGAAATTGTACTGTAAAAAATATCAGTTTTGGTTAACCATTTGACCCCTAAGAGTGACTGGCATCTAATTTCACCATATAATATCACCCCTGAATCAAACATGAAGGTAACATGAACATAGGAAATCATCACCACCTTATGGAGCAATTGATTTTGAAAGAAATTCTCTGTGTCAGCACCTTAGGAAATGTATAGAGTACAGAGAATATACATGGTTCAATTTTATCCTTGGTTAAAATTTTATTTTCTTTTGTTTTTGGGTATTGTAATATATGATAATGCATTTGAAACAAAGGAAAATAAAATTGAAATCAAGGAGAAAATTAAACCACAACATATATAATGGTGGTAGGGTGTAAAGGGTTAATGGTCACCAAAATGACTTGCTGACCCCTGATTTCTCTTGAAGCTCAAACGTTTAGGGAAACTGAAAAAGGTCACGTTATCAGAAGCTTAGAGCAAATGAAAAAATTTCGTGTAAATTTGGGGAGGAAAGGGGGAGTTTATTTTATCATTATTTATAAAATCAACATTTTAATCTAATTTGTTACAAAACATAGAGGCTAAGAGAAGTTTATAACACTGCACCTAAGTTTAATTTATGCCATTCCTCTACCACTAAAACCTTAACTGGACTGACAATGTTCTTGTAATATAAGAAAGAATTTAAAATGGATTAACAATACAAATAAACATGTAAAGTTAGACTCAGTACCATTTGTTTTCACCTGTTGTGTATTGAGACAAACATGGTTTCAGTAACTGAGCTGAAAGAATATTTAAATAAGCTGAATAGAAATGAAAGTTGGTGGCCAGATTGAGTTAAGAAAGTTGATCAATGACTGAAGTTGAGGGGAAACAGTTCATGCTACCTGTAGATTGGGGTGCAAGTCAGTGAGGGTTGGAGTTATTAGGAGTCATTTGTAATTATACAAATATTCTTAGAATGGTGCATTTTATTTCAGACACTATCAGAAGCTTATACTGTTGGTACACTGGGTAAGTTTTGACATCTTGATCTTACAACCTAAGTGGTACTCCTATATCCTTGCCATGGGTATAGAAACACCTCCCACAGCTAGTAGGCTATGGGTAACCTTAAAGAAGGCTTTCTATTACAATGCAGGCTAAAGAAAAATTAAAACTTAGGCAGGGTTTGAGACTAAATCAAAATTGCTGCTGAAGGAAAAAAAAACTGAATGGTATGGGATTGGGTGGTATTTCCAAAAAAGAAGATGGAAAAGTTTGGGTAGATGCCAATTTTTTGTTTTCCCTATCACTATACTATTTTTTTTTTTAAATTTAGTTTTCTTATCATTGAGAGATTCCTTTCTTGTTGTACTTTTGTGGTCAAACTGTGTAGTCTTGAACCCACTAACCCTTTTGGTAGAGCATGAGGTGCTGTTTGATGAAAATAGTGGCAACTGTACACCTTCCAAAATGGCACCTTGTGTGTGTACACGTGTATGGAATATCAATCCTCTATCTTTGTTGTGTTATTTTTCCAATTGCTTTTGGTTCCTGGCCTCCAGGAATCAATCTTTTATACCACAAGATTTCTCAATCAGATTTAAGGCAACTTGTTTCACTGGTGGAGGTTTTCCTTTATGCGATTCTGGTATCACTTTTATAGTACCAATAGACTAAACCTTTAAATAAGACAAAAAAGTAAGTAAAGATAATCTTTTCCATTACAGTTACATTTTATGACCAAGTGCTGGTGCTGGAAGCATTTGTGCTGACTGTGGCAACAACCACAGCATTGACAATGTACACAATGCAAAGCAAGAGAGACTACAGTTCGTGGGGTGCTGGGTATGTTTGTTTGTTGTATTTTTTGTCAAGATCAAGATCAAGCTTATGGATACAAACTGAAGCTTGTGATAGTCAATTCATAATCACATGCAGTACTGTAATCAAACATTGTATTTCATCTTTATGAATGGACATCCCTAAATTGTCTTTTTACCTATCACAATAAATATAGGTTAATTATTTGTATTAAGGTATGAATGAGGTTGGGGTTTGGACAATCAGTGGACACTTAACACTATTCTATAAGCAGGTAGTTTGTTTAAATGAGATGAACAATTTTCCAGCTTTCAAAGCTGGAAGACTTGACGCTAATC